GCTTTCAGCGGTTGCCGATGAAATGCGAACATGCAGAGGCAGGAGAAACTACGGGAGTGGGCAAACCAAACAGCGCCCACAGCTGAGGACCCACACCGGGATCGCCGCAGTTCCGGTCAATCCGTTGTTGAATTGGGTGACCAAATACCGCGATGAATTATCCGCGGATCAACTTTGACTTGCCATCTCAGGACCTGGTTGTTCAGAACCCGAAACCCTGTAGAAGTTAATTGAGAGAGATAAGCCGACGTGTTGAATTGAGGGTGATTTGAGCCAAACGGTGAAGTGGTTGTTGAGAAAAACTGTGTTAAATTCGAAGCGTTTATCCATTGAAGCTAATACATGCCGATTCCCCTGGAATTTCCGTGTTTGTTCAATATCGTGAACGATGTCAAACGGTCCAATGAGAGACGGTGTATCCGATCATGAATCATTTCGCTCCCTGTCCGCCATCCGCATCTAGAGGTTCAACAAAGGTGAGTAAGGAACCGCCATGACCTGCAACGGGAGACGAACCAGGATGAATCGCAGGCGCCTCAATCCCCTCCCTTGCTTGCCTCTTGCTCCGATAATCCACTCCAAACCGCGTATCCCTCTCCCCAACATGTTTCTCGAAGTCGAACTGGCCATCGTGCGTGAAGCTCATCATGAGCTCCGGCTGCCCCAGCGGCAACGCGTCACCGCGGTCCGTCTGCCACAAGTGGTACGTCTTCCCATAGAGGGTCACCACGTCCTCCATCTCCTTTGTCTCTGCCGCCTCCCACGCGCTCGCGAGCCCAGGCACGGTGGGGCCAGGCATGATGAGCATGCCGCTCTTGACTTCGAAGACATGGCTGTGCCAGAGCCGCCGCTCTTCGGCGGGCAGCGTCTCGTAGAGCTTTGGGGATATCATGTACTCCACCCCAATGAGTCGCGCGGACGGCCCGGGCCCATCGTACAGAATGCATTGGCGCACATCTGCATCGACTCGGATCATGGTCATTTATCATTTTGGTGAACCGAGGTGCACTCGCCTTCGGTGAGATGAGAGCAGTAATGGTTCGTCTCCACGAACCGATGCGGATCCGATGCATAGACGTGGAACGCATTGAGGTGCGCACAGATCTGCTTCACTGGCTCAAAGTCTTGAACGAGCGCAGCGCCCGTTTCGAGTATGGTGCTCTTCGTGCTCAGGGGATCGCCGGGGGTTTCAGCTTTGGAATGAGAATGTGCGGCCATAGTGGGGGGTAAGGGCAAAGGCTGAAGCTGAAGCTTTTGGAGTGTTCTTTCCGGTGATGTCACCCATTACTAGTGTCGGTGGTTCCACCACCGTCATAGGAACAGCGGCAGCCTGGAAGAGCCTGTGAGCTCAATTGGTTATGGACCCTTGGCTGCTGCACACGATTTGGGCGGTGTAGGCCCGACTCCCGAGAAACACTACACCTATCTGCACGGCGGAAAGCGAGAGTACGGGATCCAACTTGAAGGGTATTCATCGAGTAAAGCTGTTGTCAGAGACCGGCGATTTTCGGGATTCTGAGATATGGGCTGAGAACAGGCTCCAGACGGAGTACTAGTGAACGAGTACTTTTTTTGTTTTTTGCTCCGAGTCGCAAGTACTGGCATGATCGTAAGTAGCGCTTGATATTGAAGCCACTTCCGCGTCTCCGTGAATTCGTTCCATTACACTGATTTAGGTGTGAATATGTGCCAGGTTCATGCCGGTAAGTGTTCTTGTCGTCGTCGATTCAAGATTTCAGCGCTTCAGGGAGTTACGGAAGAGCCAATCCCGAAGAGTTCCGAGTGCGCATCGATGTGGCTGTGTGGCGACTTTCCGAACCTGGCCGAACTGAGGCTCCGCCGAAGCTTGAGCTTTCCTCGACGGCTCGGACTCCATCGACGAATTGGCGCTCTTCAACTCATATTCTCGATCTTATCGAAACGATTGCTGAACAGTACTCCGTTTTCAACTGACTCATATCGGCGCCGAAGTATCGGGACTTGACTCCGACAAACGACCAGTACCAGCCAGCTGCAATAGGATCAGCCAATTACAATAAGCATCCCAACACATGGGATTAGCCTGCTGAGAGAATCTATCGCGATCTCTTCGACGCCGGAATATTTCTGATCATCATAGTTTTCAACATGTGGCTGTGCACATAGTTCACAGACGCTTCGCACACCTTGCTTGCTCTTTCTTTGCGCAAAAAAAAAAGTCGTGAGTCACGATAAATTATACAGGAATGAGAGAGTACAGGTCCGCAGAGAGATACCCAGATAAACAAGGGGGGCTCAAGTTTTAAAAATCGGATATACAGTCGAAAAGTTTTTTAACCAAGATGCTGGACCCCCCACCCCCCGAACGCCCCTATATGAGGCAATACTTTCCCACGGCCAATCCGGCGATCAATTGTTTGGGCTTGTTATTTTGGGCGAGAATGCGTGCTGTTCTACCCGAACCCAACCAATGATGCTAAAATGATCACTATAGGCATACATAGTGCTCCAGCTATACCCTGGAGTTCACCAGGAACTTTTCGCGCAGAACTCAAACAACAATGTTCGTTCTGTCCCAATTAGGGAATTGCGATCAAAATTGGGGTTGCATATCTTAAAAAGTGTTCCTGACTGTGCGATAATGTTTTTAGGGTGTTTCAGCGAGATTCAAAACTTATTCGAAATGTAAGTCGAAAAGTTTTTTTAAGCCTTCCTGGGGGGGACCCCCCCTCCGACCCGGTGTCGGCAATTCGGCTGTTGAACCCCCCTTGCAGATAAAGAAAGAGAAACACAGTAGACTTCGTTTTACATATTCGGTTTGCCTCCAGTTCGTACATATATATCCCCTGCTCTGAAATCCATATACGCCTCAGGTCCTGGGCGATCTTCCATTGTTAGGACTCAGTGGAGCTCGTACTGCGCTCTTGGCGACGACAGCACCAGACTAGATACATCAATCAGCACGTTCCGCGAAAAGAGAAGCAACAACGCACATCAAGAGTCAATTTCGAGGAGGACGCCGTGGCGTTGGATTGAGTCTTTTTGACAACGGGCTACATATTCTCGTGAGCAGAGGCGATCACAGCGACCGGCGGATAGAACGCACCACGAACGCTGGAGCGAGCAGCGACGCGTGACCTCCGGAGGGCGGTGGGGCGTTCTCTATCTGTGTGAGGAGCTGAGCATGTGGTGACTTATCCGAAGAAGTATGAATGCGTACCTCCCGCAAGATAGAGTCGCCCTCGTCGGGATTGCGAGCCAGAGCCAGTTTCCTATTGAGTTTGAACATAGGCGGCGAGGGCATCTGAGTTCCGGACATAAATCATGGTCGAGCATTGGGGATGGATTGATACGTACAGGGGCATCCGACAGGTCGTAGGCCAACGCGGGGGAGTAATGCTATGATGTAACGGATGGTCAGTCTGTATGCCCCATTGCAGCCACGCTAGTCAACGCACAAAAAAATCCTTGCCGCGAAGCGCCTCGTCTTCCGTCATCCGGACGGGCGTGCGAAGAACGGCGGGGGGAAACTTGAGGGACCGGTTAAAGTTGAAGGGCGGTGTGTTCCCACTGGCGTTGTATGATTCGGACTCAAATGCGGCAGGAGAGACGGGAGGACTCTGAATGGTACTAGTGATTAACGACGTGTCACGAGAGTTGGTGAAAGAAGCATACAAAGAACTCGGAAGGCTCGCGCTCCTGAAACGAGGATTAGATAGGGCTTGCGTTGGGACGTAGTGGGAACATACCTCAACCCTGAATTGATAGGAAGGAGAGGCAATCCCGTCGGCGCCAGAGCGCGCGCTGCTCATCGAGTCGTCCGAGTCGCTTGACGTCGAATGAGTGGGGCTCTGATGTAAAACCGTAAGTGTGATGGGTAAAAATGAATTGCCGCGGACTGACAGCGTGCGGAGGTGCCTGGGTATTCTGAAGAGCCCATACATTCATCAAGAACTGGTGATCTGCATCGAGGTGAACATCGTGTCGCAAGTTGCTTTGAGCTGGACATACCGGCGGTCACCCTTGGCGTTCTGATAGACAATGACGCAGCAGCTTGCGGCGCTGACTTTGACTTCTTCTTTTCGCTTTTGCTACTAGATGGGCTTGTCAAATCGAAGGCTAAACAATGGGATGGAATTCGTACGATTTCGACTCCAGGTAGGCGGCCGCAGCTGCGTCAACCAGTGGCTCCATCGTAGGCCAGAACAGGGCCGCGATCTCCCCCGTATTGTGATTGAGGTTTGTCCAGAGGGCACCGACAAACTGGAGGAGTCCTACGTCCAACTGGGACGCGGCGTTCTTTATGAGGCGGGAATCTAGTCTGCGTACAATCTCCGTGAGGACTTTCGCGGACAGAACCTCCCGTTGCACTGTCTGAGAACATGTTTGCGTCAGCGGGGAGTCTTTGACTGTAATGGAATCATCCTGACGTTTAGAAAACTCTCTGGCTGATCGATCATCTCGTCCCCCAGAATGATCGCGACCGTGTGCTCGAGGGCCAGCTTTCCCGACTTGGCGTATCCTTGGCGAGTCCGTTTCATTTTCGCATTGTGAATGAGGTCGGTCGGCTGTGCGGCAAAGCTTTTCCAGAACTGGTCATCGAGCGGCGGAAGATCTGCTGGGCGATATCCAGGGCTGCACACAGCGGCGACGACAGCTTCTTGAACGGCGGTGGAACGGTCTGAAGGCATGATTAATATTGGCGGGAGGTGTCGCGTGTTCAAAGACTCGTTCGAGCGGGCGTGGAAGAAGGAAGAAAGCAAGAGGGAAGTTGGGGTCAACGCTTCCCGTTTCGGCCAGTGATTGGCAGGTGCACTGCCTCCCCCGCAATTACGTATCCTCTATCCCCGTCGGATTCGGCGTTCGACTCGGTAGCATCGCTGCAAATCCTGGTTCTTGAAGCAGACTCACAGCACAAGACTTCCCGAGTACGAGGCCCACAAAATACGGCGTTGATTTGAAGATCGTGTGGAAGTAGGCCTTCGTAGGCTATGAAAGATCACATATGGTCTACTTGTAAGCCCACTATAGTCCAGTGGTTAAACTGACCGTGACCGATCACTTTCGGGAGCGGGAGGTTGGAGGTTCGATTCCTCCTAGTGGCACCCAATCAGATTCTGGGCCGGGCCTCCGTGCTTCGTGCGCCGCACCCGCGAGAAACAACAGTCGGCGGCAACGTCAAACCATTGCGCCAGCATCCCCCCCTATGCAATACTGTGTTTCGTTCTGATCTTTTCCTTTTTCCGTTTTTAGCTCAAGTGTATTTCTCACCGTTGGTTCTGCGATGTTGGCTCGATTTGACTACAATTTCCGAGGACTTTGTTTTTTGCCTTTTGCTTTCCGGTAATTCGAGAATCAAACTGGGGTCCCCGTAGACCATTCCTCACGATTTACCTCCCCCGCATACTCTGATGTCACGGCGACAAAAAACAAAACAAAGCGAGCGTGGTGAGTTGGGGTGACTGGTACTAGCACATGCAAGAAAGAATACACGAAACGGGCAAGACAATGTGTCGTTGCATAAACTAAAATGTGATGTATCATAGAATCGCCTCCGTCTGCGTTACTCAGCACCCGCAGAGCCGCCCTTCTCTGCATCCCCATTACCTTCCATTTTCCCTGCCCCGGCACTCGACTTCGGCGGCCCCTTCTTCACAATCCGAATATTCTCGATGAACACCGCACACAGTAGCGCGAAACCCGCCACAGGCACGCCCAGCACGAACACGATCCTTAAACTTTCCGCATACGCATGCACGACACCCGGGATGACTCCCGCAGGCAGCGCAGTGTATATCGCGGTCGGCGACTGCCGAACGATGGCCGCTGGCGCGTCGGGCGCGAACCGCTCGAGGTACGTCCCGAGCTCGGATGCGAAGACCGGCTCCGCGATGCCGAGTGCGACGGTGCCGCCGAGGTACTGGAAGAAGGAGGTCATGCTGCGATCAACTTAGGTCTGCGAAAGAACATTTGGTGAGTAGGATTCGAGAGAGGAACGAAGGCGGAATAGTACAACGACTGTGCGTTCAATGAGATGAACGCTTTCTAGACATAAGTCAGAGTCATCGGAGACGGATAAACGCACCTCGATCCGCTCGGGCAGAGTCTCGGTGTTTCGAAATGTGTAGTATCAGAAGCCGGGAGGGAAGAATCTGTATGAAGTCAGTCCACGCTCAATTGACCGAAAGTAATGCTTAACTTGAGGCGTTCAAGCATAATTTCAGTACTTGCAAGATCTAGCACAACGCAACTCAGTGACCGGACTGTCAGAGTGACAATAGACAAGCAGCGCCCCGGCTTGTTAAGACAACGCCAGAACAAACGGCGATATTCGGGGTCAATAATTTTAGAGTAGAGTCAGAGATAGAGTGACGCACTTCATTGAAGGATTGGAAGGATCAGGCAGGCTTGTCCGAGTTTACGTCAAAAGGATTAGAGATCAGTCAAGTAATGAAGGCTTGAGTTGAATGCGACACACTTCGAGCCCGCGCACATTTTCAATACAACCAGCTGCCAAACGGAATAGGGCAGAAAAACTCTATGAACCCATACTTTAGCCAAAGTGAATCGGACAAAATGAAACTTACCTCGATCCGTTCAAGCATAGTCTCGGCACCTCAGCGAAAGCTTGAGGTCCCAGCGAGGAGCGTAGCGGTCAGCGAAGGCACGTGAGGTCGCTGTCAAGTCCTGGAATGAACGAAACAAAAAGTCAGTAAGCTCGAAATAACTCGCGAGGGGAATAGAGTTACCAACGAAAATATTACCAAGTCAATCCGACTTGGCTATCCAACGCGAAGTGGAACCTGAGGTCGTTTCAAGTCCCTAGAAAGATTCGGACAAGGGCCAACGCGTCGAGTCAGCGACCGCAGGGATGGCTAAAGTCCAACGAAGTCAGCGAGTTGAAGGCAATTGAGATGTCTCCAAAGGTCCGTAAGAGATGTTGGTGACGATTCGAATTCGACACTGTTCCACCTGAGCCGCTGCAAGGACTTGGCAACAAAACAGATGTATTCGAGGCCTGAAAAGGGGTCAGTACGGAAAGCGATGAACGGGAATCGATTTACGGCCTCGTTACAAAAGGAAGGTAGTGTATGAGAGTTGAAGTCGACGTAGTATTAGTAAAGATAAGACTGGCCGGTATTGAAATAAAAATTGGAGCAGTCAATGCAACGGTGAGACAGACGTCCGGAAAGACCTTTGAAAGTTATTAGCAGTGTATCTGAACGAAAAAATCAAGCGCACTGATCACCTTGCGACCGTTCGACTGCATCATAGAAGGAAAGCACGGAACTGTCAGTTCCGTGCTTTTCCGACATGGGCGGGTCAAAGATTGGATGAATGGGCGTGAGAAAGACCCAAGGAAGTCAAGTGAGCAGGCTCAAGAAGATGTGAATGATGATGAAGAACTCACAGTGGTCAGTGACCAAGTTGAGGACGACGCGGTGGTGGTTGATGTCAGAGATGCCGCGTGGGAAAACGATGCCGCGCCGGGTTGATGCTGTCGGCGAATGCCGGAGTCGATGGAATGGGCGGTTTGGGGGTGCGGAGAGGTCTAGGTACTACCCGTGTGGAGAATGAGCTGCCTGCATCGACGCCGAGCTGTCGTCCCCCCAGGGCGAGAGACGATGGGAAAAGAGAAAGTGGGGCACAGACGAGGAATGCAGAACTAGGCGGGAGATGAGGGGACTTATACTGTATCCGTAAAGTGGGCCACCTAAAAGCAGGGCATTAGGTTCATGTACTCGACATGACAACACGCGAGGTACGAGCGCCAGATTGTTGCTGTCTTAAACTGGCTGGACAGTTTTCAACATACCAGGATTGAGGATTGATTCAGATCGGCGCCGAATATCCTGGGATCTCAACAGACGACCAGCCTGCTAGAGTTAGCTTACAAAAGGCTCTTATCTAGCTGAAATGAGACCAGTCTACCGAGACAACGTGGAATATTTCTGAAATCGTAGTTTTCAACATGTGGCTGTGCTCGCGGTTCACAAATGCACGGGGAAAAGTCCGAGTCACAACCAGTTATGAGATAGAGTGGAGAGATACAAAAAGAGAAATACACTAGACTTATTCCGTCTGCCTCCAGCTCAGCCCGTACATAAAGTTTGAAGTTTTTACATGCCCCCGGTTCTCGGTGACCTTCCGTTGCTACGCGTAAACGGGCTGCGTCCCGGACTCTTGACGACGGCGGTACTCCCCAACCCGGACTGGATGCACCAGTCAGCATGTTCTGGGGGCGGAAAGAGAAGTAACAACGTACATCAAGAGTCAATTTCGAAGAGGATGCCGTCGCATTCGACGTGATTTTCTTGACAACGGGCTACATATTTTCGTGAGCAGAGGTAATCACAGCAATCGGCGGATAGAACGCACCACGAATGCTGGGCCTAGTTGCGACGCACGACATCCCGAGGGCGGCGAGACGTTTTCGATCTGTGGGAGGAGTTGAGTATGTGCAATTATCTGAAGAAATGATGCGTACCTCACGCAAAACCGTATCTTCGGGATTCCGAGCCAGGGCCAAGTCTCGCGGGAGCTTGAAGGTAGGCGGCGAGGGCATCTGAGTTCCGGACATAAATCAATTGTCGAGCACTTAGGATGGATGGATACGTACAGGAGCATCCGAAAGGTCGTATGCCATCGCGGGGGAGTACTCCTGGCATGTAGCGCGATGATCAGTCTGTATGCCCCATTGCAGCCGCGCTAGGCAACGCACGAAGAAATCCCTGCCGCGAAGCGCCTCGCCTTCTGTCATCCGTACTGGCGTGCGAAGAACGGCGGGGGGAAACTTGAAGGACCGGTTGAAATCGAACGGCTGCGCGCCGATGCCGCTGATGTCGGAAGGCTCAGGGTCAAATGTGCTTGGTGAGACGCACGGGCTCTGCACGATCCTGTTGAGTAACGACGCGAGAATTGGAGAGACATGCATACAGAAAACTCGGACGGGTCTCGCTCCTGAAATACGAATTAGCATGGTTTGCGCTGGGACGGAGTGGGATCGTACCTCGACTCTAAACCGATAGGGTGGGGAGGCGTTCCCGTCGACGCCGGAGTGCGCGCTGCTCATCGAGTCGTCGGAATCGCTAGACGCCGACTGGGTGGGGCTCTGAAGCAAAATCCGGGTAAGTGTGATGACAAAACGGCACGTCGCGGACTGACAACGGTGATCAGCGATACTTGCGACTCCCGGGAACTCTGGATTTCTCTGAGATTCATGAGGAACCGGAGGGCTGAGTGAAGTTCAACGTCTATCGCAAGCCGCTCTGAGTTGGACATACCGCCGGTCACCCTCGTCGTCCTCTTTGGCACCGACGCTGAAGCTGCTGGCTTCTGCTTGGTCTGTTTCTTGGGGCTAGTCGGTATCGTCAATTCTGAGGCTGGACAACGGGGAAAATGGTTATACCGTTTCGACTGAGTATAGGCGGCTACTGCGGCATCGACCAGGGGCTCAAACGTGGGCCAAAGCGAAGCGGTGAGCTCGCCCGTATCGAAGTTGAGGCTTGTCCACAGAGCACCCACAAACTGCAAGAAACCTTCATCTTCATGGGATGCATCGTTTTGCATAAGCCTGGCGTCTAGCTTGCCCACGATCGCCTCCAAGACCTTTCCGCACAGAACCTCGCACTGTAAGGCCTAAAGCATATTGTGGTTTCAATGGTCTGATGGTGGTGCAGATAGACCGTACCTTAACAAAACTATCGGGGTAGTCTAGTACATCGTCCCCGAGAATCAGGACGACAGCGTGTTCCAAGGCCATTTTCCCCCGCTTTTCGTAAGCCTTGAGGAGCTTCTTCTGCTCAGAATTATCGGCCGTGTCTGTGGGTTCTGAGGCAAACGATTCCCAGTGTTGGTCTTCAAGTGGGGGGAGAGCAGCGGGCTGGTACGAGGTATCACGGACGGCGGCCAGGACGGCATCTTGCAGAGGCGTGGCAATCTTCTGTGGCATGATGTGTACTGGCGAGAAGTCTGAGACAGGTCCAGAGGCGTATCGGCGGGCGTGGAGGGAAGGACGAGGCAAGAGACAAGCATCTGGAAAACCGTACTTGCCTACATAGTACTACAGAGAGCCCCATAGAGCAGTAGAGAGGTAGGCATGTCCCCCTCTACTGTAGAGCTCCGTAGATCCGTAGATCCGTAGAGCGGTAGAGCGGTAGAGCTACATAGAGCGATGTAGAGCACGTGTGCTCTACGGTAGAGAGCGCGTAGAGCGCGTTTCGGCAGCAGTTGTCCTTGATTTACGACCATATCAACCAGAATATCACGCGGGAATCGTATCATGATGGAAAAAACGATGCATTGAAAAACGGTGCATTGCAAGCAAAAGATATGTACATGTACATGAGCATGGACACAGTAAGAGAGGCCCGGGGGTACAATCCATAAAAAGGGGCCGCAGACAGCAGGTTGACTGCCGTGAGACGCAGTAAAAGCTTGGTGCTCCGAGTTGGCTCCGAACTTGAAACTCCTTGTCCGCCGCGCGAGCCCAGAGTAGTACACAGAGAGTCAGAGCACAAGGACAGGACTTGAGGAGGGCTTGAGGAATGGGCTTGAAGTGGATGGATGGACTTGAAGAGTAACTTGGAAGGGCAACTTGGAAGAGCAACTTGCGGCAGACATGGAAGTGGGAGGGAAAGAAGCAAAGGCAGTGGGAGCGGAAACGTTGTCGCTTTTATGAAGTCGTACGATCAACGCCAACGGCACCGGCACACGTGAGGGGGTGGGCTCTATCTCGAGCGAGCAAGAGGCGGGCGTCGAACGTAGAGATTTGGAAGCGATGGTAGAGCTGGGACCTCTATGGCGCTCTACAGAGAGGCACCGGCTCTACCGGTTGCTATGTCGTAACCGGTGATCTATGGCGCGGGCCGGGGCTCTATGTGCCCAAAAGCTGTTTCCAGATCTTGAAGTTCAGCGCTTCCCATTTTGGATAGTGATTGGCAGGTGCACTGCCGCCTGTCAGTCACGTACGCAAGATTAACCCCGTTGGACTCCACGGCATCGCTGCAAAATTTTGAACTCGCGACTTGAGGCGGCCTGAGCGCGTTGAACGAAGTGGGGTATACTATTCGGTATTCAGTTCTACGCATTGACCTTTCGAGATCTCGAGGCCATCCATATCGGCCAAAAAAGGAACATCGACAATCCCACCATGGTCCATTGGTTAAACTGACCGCCACCGATCAATTGCGGGAGCGGGAGGTTGGAGGTTCGATTCCTCTTGGTGGTACCAAATCAGATTATGGGCCGGGTCTCCGTGCTTACGCGCCGCACCCGCGAGAAACATCAGTCGGGGGCTAACGTCAAGCCGTTGCACCAGCATGTCCCTCTGTGCAATACTGTGTTTCTTTCTGATCTTTTTCATTTTTTGATTTTATTTTGAACGAATCTCTTGCCGTTGGTTCTGCGATGTTGGCTCGAATTTCTACGATTTCCAAGGCCTTTTCCTTTCCAGTAATTCGAGAATCGATTTGGGGTCCCAGTGGACCATTCCTCACGATTTACCTCCCCCCGCATGATCTGATTGTCACGGCGACAAGAAGCAAAACAAAGCGAGCGTGGTGAGTTGGGGTGACTAGAACATGAAAGAAATAATATGCGAAACGGGCAAGAGTATGTGCCGTCGCATAAACTAAAGTGTGTTGTATCATACGATCGCCTATGTCCTCACTTTGCCCCTTCCGCGCCACCCTTCACCGCATCCCCATTACCATCCATCTCCCCTGCCCCGGCACCCGACTTGGGTGGCCCCTTCTTCACAATCCGAATATTCTCGATGAACACAGCACACAGCAGCGCCAACCCCGCCACAGGTACGCCCAGCACGAACACGATCCTCAAACTCTCCGCATACGCGTGAACGACGCCGGGAATAAGTTCTACGGGCAGCGCCGTGTATATCGCGGTCGGCGACTGCCGCACGATGGCCGCCGGCGCGTCGGGCGCGAACCGCTGGAGGTACGTCCCGAGCTCGGAGGCGAAGACTGGTTCCGCGATGCCGAGCGCGACGGTGCCGCCGAGGTACTGGAAGAAGGAGGTCATGCTGGTGGCTTGGCCGATCAACTTGGGCTTGGATTTGAATTCGGCTCTGCGAGAGAATATGGGGTGAGTAGGATTGTCCGTACGGGAGAGGAAAGAAGACTGTACTGGATGGCGATGAACCCATTCTGCATGCCCATCCCCGTACCGATCCCCGCTATGATCTGGAATCCGGCAATTTTAGCAGAGGAGGAGTCCATGGTGAGGGTGTAGAGCAAGCCGGACCCGACGCCGAGGAAGAACGGGGAGATGACAAGGAAATACCAGCTGTGATTAAACAAATTGAAATTGAATAAACTGTGAGCCTGAGGAGATGCGAATTATTCTCACTAGTACCCGGTCCTGCCTACAATCTGGCCCGAACCAATAATAGTTATCACGGCCGCGAGCATGAAGGGCAGAATATCAACTAGAGGTGTGTTAGATAGCGTACAAAATAAATGGGGAGCATGCACGAACTTCCCGACTTGGTGGCGCTGTGGTGTCGGACGGCTTGGTAGAATATCGGGATGTACTGTCCATCCACTTGTCAGAATGATCTCGAACTACGGCGGCGATGCTTACATATGAGTAAATGAGCATAGAGAACCGGCCGAGAAAGCAGAATCCGAGGATAGCATATCTGGCATACGTCAGCTCGTTGAAGGACAAGTTGAAACACGGTGCATACATTGACTTGGAATGCATAATTGACATTGGCGTCATGGCCTGCTCGCCGAGATATATCTCCCAAGCAACGAACACGCCTGCAATGACACCGGAGAGAACGAAGCACTGGAACAGACGGTAAGTATCGAATTTCAACCATAAGATGAGGGAACACACGATTATCACGGCCTTGTCGTCCCATGGCTTGGTGTTGCCGCCCCACTGCAGGGCGAGGACGAGACTCGTAACCGCCCCAGCAACAAGCGTAGCGCCGAGAAAGTCCAGGTGGGCTACCTGCCTCCGGATTTCCGGCCACGAGCGTTTGGTAGGGTCGCTGCCGAGAGGGGGATATGCCTTGAGGAGGAGCGTCACTGCGACCAAAGAGACTCCTCCAACGGGGAGGTTGATCTAAGGGACGAGTGAGGATCCAAACACAAAACTCGGAGGTTTTAGTATTTACGAAAAAGCACCAACGCCAAGTGACGTGGTCCGTGAAAGCACCTCCGATGAGCGGGCCGATGATTGACGACAGCCCGAACACGGCTCCGAACACCCCAAACAGTCTTGGTCGATCTTCGAGACGGGTGACTTGTGCGAGGACCTGGAACATCGAGACATCTGCAAGGTTGAATAACTTATGTGTTTTTGGAACGATCCTTTGAACTCACAGATGCCCGCGGCGCCTACACCAGATATTGTCCGCCCAGCAATGAGCTGGCCTACGCTCTGGCTAACACCGCACAGCAAAGACCCGAGTTCAAACAAAAAAATCGACGTGACCAGAACCCATTTGGCCGGAAATATGCGTAACAGTTGGCCATAGAACAGAAGGGAAACCGCTAGCACAATATCAGTACCTGTTCGAGGGGCAGACTTGACACATACTCTGCGCTAGAATAAAGGACGTGGCGATCCAGCCTTGTAGAGTAAAAGATTCGAAGTCCTGGAAATGGATTTAGCGAAGACGTTATGTAACTGTGATGTGGTGAGCGAACCGATGCAATACGAGGCAGCGCAGTCGCTGGGGAAAAAAAGGAGAATGGTAAGCCCTGGTTCAATCTGAACGACATCGAAGCATACCAAGAATTGTTTGATCCAATGCAATCAACAGGACAGAGAGCAGTCTTGCAAAACATCAGTTCAGTGTCAGCCAGTCGAAAGGGCAGAGGTTTACATGGCAACAAATATGACTGCGAGCTTTCTTCCCGTCAGGATCGTGTCTTCGCTGGGGTGGCTCTTTTCTGGGGCGTTTTTTTGGGGCGAAATTTGGGGTGATTGGGGCTCTGCAGCTTCCAAATCAGAAGGCATTTTGGGTCTGGGGAACGATGCTACGTACCTCGAGTGCAGCCCTATATATGCGTTCAGCGACTTGAAGGCATCAGAGACGACAGTTCCGCGTCGGAAGTCTTCCATTGGTCTGACGATATCGAGCTTACGAGGCATGTCAGTGTGCGATCAAGCACTGCCACCTCCTGAACTCACCAACCCACCATGGCACACGCCATGTCGTCCATTTTCTCACACAATCTCTCTCTGTACGCCATTGCCTTTGCGCCGCTGCTTCTTCTCCTGCCCTTTCGGCGGACAGGGAATCGACCCGCAAGGTCAGACACACCTCCTTTCAGCTTGATCATGCTAAACCGACTACAAAGACCAAACTGTCGGTTCCTTCTCAAGGATCCCGATACTGCGGAGGTTGTGACTCCTCCTGTCGCGTTTTCCAACGCAGTCTCTCTCGCCGAGAATGCTATATTCTGCATGCGTTCACGCGTCTCGCTGCAGCTCTCCATCGACAGCATCTTCCTGGAGTTGCAGAAGGCCGTCCATCTTAGCCAACCTTTGCCTGCGCACGTCAAGGAATGGACCTCGTGGCTCTCCTCCAAACGCCTTGCTATCGTATTTTGCCAGTATTCCAACGCCTCGAGGTGGGGTTGGGTTTCCGAGGAGGATTCGGTATCAGATACCCCGGACTACGATTTCAGTATCCTGTTGGACTTGGCGAAGCTTACCGACGCCGTCAGTGGTTCGATTCCTTCATATTGTCTCGAGCGCTGAACCCGTTTCTTAGACGCGCACAGATCACAAATTACCAGTGGAGTATTTCCGGTTCTGCTACGCTCTCACTGTTCTCCAACAGACCACGCATCTTCTCACGACGTATGCTTTCCCACACGAAACTACCCCCATTTTGAAGGGCCTGAGGCTGGGGAAGGCTTCGAGATGGAATTACTTGGAGGCCGTTTGGTCTGCGCATGGGACAGCGGGCACGTTTCCGAGTTTCGACATCTGCACGACCTCTACCTGGTACGCCCAAGCGGAGAGTTTTATCGCCTCGGTGAGCACACGTCCGCCAGCCGGTAGATTCTCCGGGATCTCATTGGGACCTCGGTCGGTAAAGACGAGGACGATATCAACGACTTTCTTCGAAAAATCCAAAACCCATCCTCAAACGCCGTCTTCAAGATAGATCTCTCCAACAAGACTCCCGCAAAAATTCCCGCGACTGTGACGCTAACCGTCTCTGAGGCGCAAAGACGCGAAAGGACCTATGGCCCCAAGGAATTTGATCCTTCCCAGACTCTACGGCTCTTCCCCCAAATCGCTAACTTCGACGATATGGCGAAGGCACTGACGGACGAAGACGATTCGTTGGTCTACACCCGCGCGGGGACCGGGCTGGGCAAATGCTACCCTCGTACGCTTGCGCACGGCGCGGCGTCCATGGCTGGTCGCCCATTGACTGGGTCATAAACTCAATGACCTTGACTGGCAATTAGTGGCAGAATTCGAGAAATGGGTACAATGAATACGTGACAGCTTGAGATACTCGTATAGTGTATATTTATCTGATTCTGAATCCAACTAGTCGTGAGCCAAGGGGGATGCGCCGGGATCGCATGAAATCACCAGGTAGAATCCGTAACTATAGCCTTCACGTTCCGCGTTCATGGAATACCATCTCCGTGACGTCTCCCGTTGTGAGCGACGTGCTCAGGATTGTGCCGCCTGAATCAGGATTATTGAGGAGATAATAAGGTCCTTGGATCTTTTGGACCTTCTCCGCTGTTTCGATGTTCCACACTTCCACCCGCATGTCGCAGAACGCAAGGATGTACGGCTGGTGTAAGGCTGCAACCACTATATTAGGACGGAATCATGATATGGATAACCCACCACCCACCAAAAGCGTTGGAAGGTTGAGTCCACTGCATTACCAATTCTTTTCGTGTCGGGTCGCCTCTGCGGTCTATATAAAATGCTACCTCTTGAAGCTGTGTCAGTGGGAGTTCCATAAAATAATTCAGCGGAGGGACGCACTGTCATAACAGACGAGGAATACGTCGTCGACCTGAAATACTGTTATGGGCTTGTATTCTTTAAGCGGCAGTTCGATGAGTGCAGGATCGGTGGGATCCAGCAGGCTCTGCATGTCGAAAGTTGGCAATTCAACCCTTTCAAACCCTCCCTGTACGGCAGATCCTTGTTTGATCGAGCCTGCCATACGCGTCCGTGTAAGAAATCGGACAGAGTGATAGTCCGCAG